CCAGTTATACAGTATATAGTTTTGATTGTTGTACAAATGCATTTCTGCAACCTCTGAGCAGAAATGTGAGTACACATAAATCTGTGTAAATGCCACTGCAGAAATGCCACCTTTGCTGTGTAAATTTGACATACGATATTGGAGACTGTAGATTTAAATCAAAATATATGACAGGAAATGATGTAAAGCAGGTTAGAGGGTTTTTTTGTCAGCTGAAACTCTTTGACCTCTTTAACAATACATTTAGGCCTACATGTTCACCGTTCTCTGATACTGGTTAATGACATGCAGGTAAACTTGAAAATATTTCATATTAATTTAGTAAGTGTTTTATTTTGATTGGTTTTATTTTAAAATTATTTATTTTAATTTTACTTTATAATTTAATTAAATAATAGCTTTCATCATTCATGAAACAAAACCACCTGCAGTTCCCTCACCAAATGGTTAGTGCAAAAGAGTTAAAGGGTTAGTTCACCCAAAAATGAAAAATCTGTCATCCTTTACTTTGAAGAAGATATTATTTTGAGAAATGTCTTAAGTGTTTTTTTTTTTTCATACAGTGGAAGTCAACAAGAACAAAAACTGTTTGGTTACCAACATTCTTCAAAGTATCTTCTTTTGTGTTCCACAGAAAAAAAGAAAGTCATACAGGTTAGGACATGACATGAGGGTGGCAAATATAGACATTTTTAGGTGAACTATCTCTTAAGAGTCTGGCGCCAGTTCCCCCTATGCTTCTGTCATCTCTATAACGGTCAATAAAAAAAAATCATATACTATAGAAAATGGTTGTAAAACAGAAACGTAATTTAAAACATTAAGATCAAATAAAAAATGGAGCAGGCAAAAGGTAAAAATAACAGTGTTAAAAGTGGTGTCTATCCAGTTACAAAAGAAGCTAAATTATGCATTTCTGTAAAAAATTAATCACTCTGAGCTTTCCCACATCTGGTGACAATGAGCCAAAGTTAAGTCCACAGTTACCTCTCTAAACAAACCAGTACATTACCCATGAACATGTCAGCTGTCATCCAAACAGAAACACTTCAGATGTCTGGGTTTCTACATTTCATAACACATCCTAATCAGGGATTAAGAAGATGGAAATCCGCAGAGGAGACGACTAAAAACAACATGCTGACCTCCGCTCTGGAACATATGACAACATGAAGTCTCATGATAACGACAAAAGTCACAACTTCTGGCATCAGAGATTCCCCGGCGCAGTCTTCCTCTCTAGGATTACACTAGAGATAAAAACTTAAACCATAGGACAACTTAATCTCTTGAGGAAATTGTGCAAGACATGGCTAATCATGATGTCAATACACATCTTGTACTCAGTGTCTTGTACCATGCTTGCTGTCACTTGATTGACAGTAAATATATATGTAATATAAACACACAAAGGTCTATTATACATGACAAAATAAGCTCCATTTCATAAATAATAAAATTAAAATAAATTTTACAAAAAGTATACTAAACGCATGTCTGTCCTTGATACAAACATTAGCTAAGGCTCATAAGCATTCTTGGCAATATGTATATAAACATTAGGCTACATGAACATTAAACTTAATATTTTTATTTGAAGCACACAACATTGAAGGAGTCACAAGCCAGACTATGTTTACAGCCTTGTTGTTGGTCAGCATGTACAGCTTGTTGCCTTAAGGTAAACTCTCGTGATGAATTCTGGGTAAAAAGTAACCTCTGTTCAAACTAATGCAGCACACGGAACTGACTTAATTAGTTCAGTTCCATTTTCACAGTAACGTGGATTGAAGTATTAGAACGAATATAAGTGATTACCATAACAAACAGGGAGTGTTTATTTAAGAGTAGGCTAGTTAAATAAACAGGTTTACGTTTCACCAGATGAATTCACGTGCATTTAAGTACGTTGCCTGAAACTACTAATTTAGAGACAGAAATACGAAACTGTACTGATATTAAATTACATGTATACAGCTTTATCTGCAAATTATACAACACACCGTGAGCAGTGCAGTAACATGCCAGCAACTGTTATTTTGACAAACAAGGAAAAGTTCCGTGTCCTTACCATATGTATTAGACTCTCTCTCTCTCTCTTCTAGGCAGCTGTCCACTTTCCTTTTATAATCTCTATTTTGCAAACTAGTATTCCCCTGTTGACTCGATACAACGAGCACACGAGCGTACACAGTTTAAATGCGAGGCACCCGTCGGGATTATAATAGTAACTTCAGTCAACCAATCATATTCCAAAGCAGGTTCCCACTTTCAACTTCTGACCAATTGTATTTCAACTGTGGGCGGGACATTGGTGACAGCTCAATACTGATACAGAATGAAATTGTATGATTTTATATGAACTTCATGTCATATAGCGCCGCAACTGCATACCCAATATTTTGTTTAAATTATAATAATAGATAATAATAATAATAATAATAATAATAATAATAATAAAAATATAATAATCTGCTGTGGCAGATTCTGTTCTCATTAGAAACTGTGTATTAAACGTATTAAACGTATACTTGTTGTTGTTGTTAGAGAAAATAGACCTATATGGAAAATTCACAGCTTTAAAAGTAGCCTACCATCTTTTCAGAGTATAGATGGATTTAACTCAGCGATTCAAATCTTTTGAATTGGTCCTCTACAAAGATTTAAGAGGTGAAAAAAACTGCCTTTTGTGCGTTACGAATGAGGCATTGAATCATTTATTCCTAAACATTGTCACGCTGTGGCAGATTCTGTTCTCATTAGAAACTGTGTATTAAACGTATTTTTTAAAGACTTGTTGTTGTTGTTAGAGAAAATAGACCTATATGGAAAATTCACAGCTTTAAAAGTAGCCTACCATCTTTTCAGAGTATAGATGGATTTAACTCAGCGATTCAAATCTTTTGAATTGGTCCTCTACAAAGATTTAAGAGGTGAAAAAAACTGCCTTTTGTGCGTTACGAATGAGGCATTGAATCATTTATTCCTAAACATTGTCACAAAAAGTTGCATTGTCCTTCATTAAAACTTAAATCTATTATATCTAATAGGCTCCACGACGAATGTTACATCTCGTTTTTTCCATCTATGCCAATTTCGGTGCCTGCACTTTAATCAATCTATAAAACAATATATAGGAAAACAGTAATAGCCTAGGGTTGGTTCAAATCGTGATGTGAATAAATCTCGTTCACAAAAGGGGGAGAAAGGGCTGGAGAAATTGTGTCCCTCTCGTTCTCGGTGTGCCCCTGCTCCTCCACGGCTCGTGCTCCAATGCTATTGGTTCCCGCCATAATAATGTCGTGAATATCGGAAAGCTGCGTGAGCACATCGAACACATCATGTTTGTCACACTGTACAACAATAATGACTGTTTTTGCATTATTGTAAGGGGTAGTTTTAGGGTTGGGGTATGGGTAGACGTTAATAAAACACAATCTAATAGGCTAGGCAAAACACTTAATTTATTGTTATAGTTTCCGGCGATTCAGGGAACGAAAAATATGAGATAAGGCTGCATTGGAATTACACAGAACATTGTATCACTTATTAGTTCATACTTAGCAATTACAGTCTATTATTAGTAAATATTAATTTTACGCAAAACCTTTCAGAAACGTTCTGTCATTCTTCACGTGAAAACATGATGTCAGCCAAAATGCTATGTGAAAGGTAATAGGAGGTTTATGTGGATTATTTCGAGGCCAAGGCTTTTCACAGCTGGAAATCACCGCGAGGCAAATGCCCGCAGCAGGTCAATGGCCGATTACCAGTCTTTAGACTGAGCGACATTGCTCTCTGATGGGCAATCAAGCGCATTGTTGCGTTCATAGTGACATCTTGTGGTTAGTCGATCAGAATGTAGATGAACTAGCTGGTAGATTCAAGTCCGAGTAGAAAGTTCAAGGCAAAGACTAAAGATAACGTTAGGTAAATGCAAACCGCATACGCGTCATTAGCACACGAAAATCGAAATCAATGAGTGATTTTTTTATTTGAAAAAGTCTCAAGCGACCTTGTTGTTAGTAAGCTTATACAGATTTGTGACTTTTAACACTTATAATGAATTCTAGGTAAGATGTAATGAGACACGTGAGAATATGTTGCACATTTGTTGTTATATGTAGGTATATATAGGCTATTTCTTTTTAATAGCTTACGTCATTTTGTGAATTATTTATTTATTTATTTATCTAACTTGCTCGGATAAAATATAATTGCCAAAAACTACTGCTAATGTTTTACTATTTTGTGCATTTCATAAATTTTAATTTGCCATCTTTACGCATAAACATGCGGAATTTTGAAACATGAGGTTCATCAGGTTTATGGCTGCACTGATGCACGTAGCTTTCATTTTTATTATGCTTTATATTTTAAGTTTTAAGTTTGCCATAATATTTTCTAATTATTATTCTATTCTTTTTTATTACTTAACTAGCGGGGATCAAATTGAATTGCTGAAAACTACGGCTGCTATGTGTTGTGGATTTGATACATTTTGACTTGACCTTTTTTACTCACTACTTATTTTTGTAACCTGACTAACATGACTTCGAATGTTTTGTCAAATACAGCTGTTTGTTTTACACAAATAAAACATCGACGTCACTGCACTGGCATATGTGTTAATGCTGCATTGACAACGTTTATCGAACAAGAAATGCAGGAATGCAATAGAAATATAGCTGTTGTAGCAGGCACATGTGGAAACCTTTTTAGATTTTAAAAACGTATTTTGTCTAAAGCTTCAATAAAGTGTTCCATTTCAGTAGATATTATTTCTTAAGCTTTACAGGGTTATGACAATACTTTTTTTATCAATTGAAAAAAATACAAATGGTCTCAGACTATTGGACTCATAATAAAAATGATCATTGTTTATAAACGTGCTAGATGCTGAAAAATGCTGAATGGACATTTATAGAGCTACACTAAGTGCACTAAGTACACTTTAATTTTGCTCTTGTAAACAATCCCTGCCGCTATTAAAATTGTACATGTTTTCCCCCCAGACATATAACACCAATGCTCAGGTCCCAGACAGCGCGGGCACTGCCACAGCATATCTGTGCGGGGTGAAGGCCAACGAGGGTACGGTTGGAGTGAGCGCAGCAGCTGTGAAATCCCAGTGCAACACCACTCGGGGGAACGAGGTCACCTCCATTCTTAAATGGGCCAAAGACGCAGGTAAGATGCCCTGCTGAATCCTCTCACACAGCAGCTGTAATGCCTTTCTGTCCCCGACTTCTATTGCAATTAGAATATAGATGGGATATTTGTTTCTAAGCTTATTTTTATGCTAGCAATCCATTAACATGTTTTTGCATGAGAGAAACAAAGGTGACACTGGCACATAAAGCAGGTTGAGCAGATAAAAGATTGAAGAAAGCGGAAAAAAACACGTCCTTATCTGAAGTAAAGGCAGAAATGAGAAGAGTGACTGATGAGCGTGACACGCAGACGGCTTGCTCATATTTTGTTCTCATGTTGAAAATAAAAACAAATGAAGCATTTTATAAGACGGAAGTCCTCTGCCGAAGGTAGAGGTGAATGAAAGTAGCCGAGTGGAATTTGTATGACATGACCAGAATAAACATTTAAAATCCAGCTGAGAGGTTTAAAAGGCGGATGGTCCAATCAGTGTCAAACTGATAACCTGACCTGATCTGAGTACAGGGTAAAATGCTTTCTCACTTGGGTGCTTGTGTCCAGAGAATGCATTAAAATACTGTACCATACAACTGGGTGACCTTAGCCAGACAACAAGACTTACAATCAAACATTGCAAAGCTGATGCAGTGCATATTTCAGTTGGTTTACTCTAAGTCAGTCTGTTGATTAAATATATGTTATTGAATTACTAGATAGATGAGGAAAAAAATACGTAATCCAGTTGAATCGACAGTAGATATAGTGGTAATCATGGCCATGTTTCAACCTGTATTTTCCCCAGGCAAATCAGTGGGAATCGTCACAACAACACGAGTGAACCATGCCACTCCGAGTGCGGCGTATGCACACTGTGTAGACCGGGACTGGTATTCAGATGGAGACATGCCTGCTGAAGCACTCCAGAGCGGATGCAAGGACATCGCCAGACAACTCTTTGAAAATATCCCTGACATTGACGTGAGTTTTCTTAATGATTATCTTCCAATTTTATGAACTGGTTTTATATAGTGTTGGGTTGGGTCATTCAGTGTAATATTTATACAGTCAAACCAAAATGTATTCAGACATCTTCAACATTTCTTACATTATCTCAGCTTATTCGCTATAGTTTAGAAAATGGTAATAAAATATGACAAGAGTTAAAGTGTGTCAGAACAAATTCATCTTGATATTGTCAGATAGCTTTGATAGAAAGGTATGTAATGAATTAGGTTGAACAGCTTTCAGCTGTTAAATTTAAGTACACAATTGGATAATACCAATTTAGGTCAACCAATTAGCAAGCAATGCTTAATTTTGTTCAGTCTGTGGTGTAAAAAAGGTCACATTAGCAATTAAAGAAAAACACTTGGACCAAAACATGGTCAGGTCAAAGTGTATAAATATTTTTTGGTCCCAAATTTTTATCAGTTTTACTGGTAGTCCACTGTATGAAGAATTTTTGGTATAATATGTCACACTTTACTTTATTTTGCCATCCTCACTTACATAAATAAACTATAGTGTCCTGCACCCACTAGTAAAAAATATCAAAAATGATGTCTGGTGTCTGAATAATTTTTGGTTTGACTGTATGTACTTATTTACATATACAAATGGATTCAATTAAAAAACAAATGCATAATAAATTAAAATATTAGTAACAAATTATACAAAAAAAATGTATTATTAAAATATTGATTAGAAATGATTATATTAACAACAACTATAAAAATGAATAAGAAGTATGTATTACTATTGTTACTACTACTAATATTGATAAAATAAAAGTATGATTAAATAAATTATACAATACACTATTTTTTGTTGTTATTTATAATAATGTTGATAAAATAATGAGTTAATATTTAAAGTATTTATTATTGTTGTTAAATTATAAAATATAATAACGACAATAATAATTAATAATATTAACAATTATAACAACAACAACAATATTAATGCTGATAAAATAATTTGTATTTAATATTTTAAATATATTTAAATACACCAATATTAAATAATAATATTTAAAATGACTATTATTAATATTATTTTTCTTATGAAGAATAATACATATTTTTGCAATTGTTTCAAATATTAATTACAAATTAATATTTATTAGCGTAGCAGTTAGAGTTATAAAAAAGTGCAGAATTGTAAATATTTCCACTTCATTGTACATCATAATGTTTATTCATTTTACATTTTCAACATCTTTTGGTTTAAATTAGATTTTCTTTTGGACAGCACTGTGTACAATAAATGTGTGATGTTTCTCTTTTCTTCTTGATTTGGACGGGCAGGTGATTATGGGGGGTGGGCGGAGAAATATGTACCCCAGAAACACACCAGATGTGGAATACCCAGGAGACAAGAAACACAACGGTACACGCAAAGATGGCAGGAACCTCGTGGGGGAGTGGACTGACAGAATGAAGGATAAGGTGAAAGATGAAACGAGGGAAAAACAGGGCACTTCATTCCATCTTTTCATTTACAATGTCATGTTCAATTCAGTTCAGGAAAAAAAAGCTTCTACACTATGCCTCTGCTGACAAATCTCTTTTTCATTTTCTCTCTGTGTTTGCCTGTCTCTGGCGCTGTATTTGTGCTCTTTTGATGATGCCCAGTTTATTGACTTCTCTGAATCTGATCTGATGCTCTTGAGGCCCCTAAAGCAGGCTTTATAGCTGTGCAGTTAATAGCAAATGAAGACAATTTGTACTTGTTGTGAAACCGTATTACAGAGATTTGGTTGCAAGATATTGAATCATAGCAGTGTAACACATTCTATAAAGCATCTAGATAAGAGGGTACGATCATTTATTTAACCTATTTCTTGTTTTTCTCTTAACCTTTGTGTAATCAGAGAGGTTACTATGTTTGGAACAGGAAGGATCTCTTTTCTCTGAATCCAAACAATGTGGATTACCTTTTGGGTGAGTTTCATAACCATTGCTTAAGTGACCTTTTTTGAGACGTTGTTTTAACTTTTCCTGTTTACATTGTCTTTTTTTGTTCTATTTGCGCTGCAGGTCTTTTTGAGCCAGCAGACCTGCCCTATGAGCTCGAGAGAAACAAAGAAACTGACCCTTCCCTCACTGAGATGGTAGACGTGGCCATTAAGATCCTCCGAAAAAATGAACGCGGATTCTACTTATTGGTGGAAGGTAAAAGTATAGTGTACATCAGCAGTCATTAAACCACAGTATTGTAATGGGAGGTCAGTTCAACATCTGATTAAACTAGGAACAATTATTTTGCATTTCTCAGTGCTGTGGAAGTTACTGTCAATCTACTGCAAATTATTTTATTTTTTTTAGCTTTTGGTAATTTATATTAAACATTATATATATATATGAAATGCATGCAATATAAGTATATATGTGATCAAAAAAGATTTTAAAAAATCTAATTGAAACAAGAAAACTGTAATACAACTAAAAGCATAGTTATAAACTGCGGCATTTATATAGTAATTTCACAAAACCTTTAGATGACGTAAAATGAATTGAATAAATTAATTTGAAGCGCTCATTAAAATTAACTGGACGATTGCCTTAGTTCGCTTGAAGCACTACAATAGCTATGTTTCCATCAACCTGCTTTTATGCTCATTTTGAAGTATCACATCAGAAATGAGTGATGGAAATGGCATATTTCGAAAAAAAAATCCCTTAATTTGCTAAAAGTTTTACACTCGCTTGAGTTGGTTTTTGACTTGTGCGAAAAAGGGTTGATGTGAATAATGGGAGATAGAAACAAATTTTGCTAATAAATTCCTCCATGCACAACAAAACATCATGTGACTTTGCACAATGGTACGGGATAACCTGACTAACCAGCCGACCGGTCTTGTTGCACAGCATCTGAAATGTTATGATCATTCTTAAATGCCCTAACAAAATCTGTCGTCAAAGTATTTCTGTATAATTGCCTCCCAAAACTGTCTTACACGACTGCATTCCCAAACAGCAGCAATGACCGCATTTATTGTGTTCCGTCTGCTTTCTCTGAGGCGCAAGTAATTTATTATATATGAAAATAATTTTATTATTCAGTGGCTTCTCCTACTTTTCTTAGTGATATTTAGTGCCAGTTTATCAGGAAGTGACTATTTTGTTCTCTTTGACTCGTTGAATGGAAATGGTGCTCATTCGCAAATGTTTTATGCGATATTCCAATTTTGCGCATAAGTTAAATTCGCAACTTTGGATGGAAACCCAGCTACTGTGACAAAAAAAATCACACTAAACCACTTATTAATTAAATTAAAAGCTGCACTACAACAGCTCCGCTACTATCACATTACATAAAAATGCAGGATTGCTACTTTTAATTTATTTTGCTATTAATAAACTCCTCAACATTGTGTATTAATGTAGGATCAAATGTTTCAAATGTTGTTGCTGGTACTGAAGGGAAAGATGTGTTGAGATGTAGTGTATGTCTTAATGCTCTATGAGTCCGCTGACTGGGCTGTATGCTGGCAGGTGGGCGCATTGATCACGGACACCATGATGGAAAAGCCAAGCAGGCCTTACATGAGGCTGTGGAAATGGACCGGGCCATTACCCGAGCCGGTCTTCTCACCAGCATTTATGACACACTGACAGTCGTCACGGCTGATCACTCTCATGTCTTCAGCTTTGGAGGCTACACACATCGGGGAAACTCAATCTTTGGTAGGTAATGAAAGCTCAAGGCATGTTGGGAGGACTTTAATTACAGAGTATGGTGTGATTTCTTGGTGGTTTATGGTCCAGTCTCTGAGCTTTAAATGTCTTTTCCTAAGGTTTGGCCCCCATAATGAGTGATATTGACCAGAAGCCCTTCACATCCATTCTCTATGGAAATGGCCCAGGGTTCAAGTTTGTTAACGGTGCTAGAGAGAATGTCTCAACTGTGGACTACGGTAAGTAATTATACAGGCTTATCGCTTCCCGGTTCTGGCTTGGGACCTACTTTTTTTGGGATACTTAGAATGTTGGGATTTAGGTTTAATTGTTCCTGTTTGGCTGTTTCTTGCAATTCTATGGCATATGGCAACAAATAATGTAAAACGTCCATACTGTAGCATACAGTAAGGGTGGATACAGCTCTGACGGTATGCTTGATGGATTGAAATGCTTACAACTCATTTTGCGGAAATGAAAGGGCCTGGTTAGAAATCAAGTGGGAATATAGCATATTGGATTTGTGGATCTGCTTTTCTGAAATGGATTCATTGCAGTACATCAACCCTTGCATTCAGGGCTCTTCAACATTTTTATTTAGTAAAGGACCCCTCACTGCATTAAGAGACGGAGAAGACATTTATTCTTGTACACTACTGTTTTTTTAATTAAAAGGGTCATATGATGTTGCTAAAAAGAACATTATTTTGTGTATTTGGTGTAATGCAATGTGTTTATGTGGTTTAAGGTTCAAAAACACATTATTTTCCACATACTGTACATTATTATTTCTCCTCTATGCCCCACCTTTCTGAAACGCGTCAATTTTTACAAAGCTCATCGGTCTGAAAAGCGAGGTGTGCTGTGATTGGCCAGCTATCCAGTGCGTTTGTGATTGGCCGAATACCTCAAGCGTGTGACGGAAATGTTACGCCCCTTACTATATTGTGATGCCGTGTCCCGGCGCGACGAGACAAACCAATAAAACCCATTACAAACGAGGCATTTGTTGCATCCAGTGGGGACATAATTACGGATTATAATGACTTATACTGTCTTTTTACGCGTTGCATATCGCGCCGCGTAAACATAAAACCATGTCTGCATTTGTGATAGGAGAAACGACAAACAACAAGCGCTACTCTAACACTGCTCAACTTGCGTTTGAATCGTCAGTGGCAAATTCTTTAAATATGAAAAGAAAGGAAAACTTGAAAATGCATCATATGACCCCTTTAAAATAGTTTTATTCAGCAAGGACACAATAATCTGATAAAAAGTGAGAGTAAAGACAATTCTAATGTCACAAAAGATTTCTATTTCAAATAATTAAATTATTAAAATAATGAATTATAATAGTTTCATGCTTTCCATATTAAGCAGCTGTTTTCATCACTAATAATAAGAAATCTTGAGCACCAAAATCAACACATTAAAATGATTTCTGAAGGATAATGTGACACTGAAGAATGGCTGCTAAAAATGTAGCTTTGCAATCTAAATTGCATTTTAAAATATACTAAAATAGAAGTACTTACAATACAATATTACTGTTTTCTACTGTATTTTTTATCAAATAAATGCAGCCTAGGTGAGCATAAGAGATGTCTTTAAGAAACCTTATCGTTCAAAAGTTTGTGGTGGTTAAGGTTTGTTCATTTACATTTATATTTGAAAATTGCGTAATACGTTTTAATGGAGAGATTTGTTGAAGACTACATCATTGTGACCCACTGTTCTTATTGAATGGAATCTCTGATGCACTGTCAACTATAGCATGTAGGCGCCCTGAATGTCAAACTCAGCAGTAGTTGATGATGATAAAGTGCATCTCTCTCCGATCCCACCGCCCATCTTTCTTACTCTTCTTCTATATGTTTGACAAGCCATAGAATTATGGCTATTGTTCTGGCTCAGTCTCTCTCTTCTCTTCCCCATCACTCTCTCTGGCTTTCCCTGTTTGTCTCATTACTATTCCACAGCATAGGTTTGTCTGTTTCAATTGCTGTTTTCACTGATAGAACACAATCCAAAAACAATTAAGTAAAATGCATTGTCATCCCTGCTGCTGACATTGTTCTGTCATTCATTCCCAGGACAAAGAAAAAAAAAAAAAAGTAACTGTAGTTATTAGTATTGACAAGCAATATAGACAAGAAACTGCTCACTGCTTTCAATTTTGTTTCTTTGTTATTTATTAAGTATTGTTTTATTAAATATTAATTTAATATGAATTGTAATTACATTTTAATGTAAAATTACTCATTTATTTCTGATAATTATCGAGAAATGCATTCAAGCTACATGCTATTGTTTTAACTGTAATTGTTAACATTCATATTTGTATTTAACTAAAGTAGTGTGTTTTTTACATTTTATTTTAATATTTAGTTTTAATATAATATAAATATTAACACATATACATTATACATTAACACACTTTCTTCTGTCTTCAGAGCAAAACAACTATCAGGCGCAGGCTGCTGTTCCCTTGAGCATGGAGACTCATGGCGGTGAAGACGTGGCAATATTCTCCAAAGGTCCCTTGGCTCATCTTCTTCATGGAGTCCAGGAGCAGCATTACATTCCCCACGTCATGGCCTACGCAGCTTGCATCGGCCAAAACAAAGGCCACTGCCATACAAACTCCGGTTCCCCATCTCTCAGTCACATCTCCCCTACGCTGGCCCTTCTTCTCTCAATTAAATGGCTTCTGTGCTGACCCCTCTTCTCTGGATCCTCTCTTATCTTATCGTGATTAGATCAGAAACTATCCTAACTGGTTCTCTCAAGTGGAATTCATGATTTTTTTATAACATGTGATTAGTTTTTAAAGCATTGTTTAACATTGGGACCAATGTGCGGGCATTATGGAGAGCTTGAGGCCAATTTGAGGAGATTTTGTTGCAATAGCGAAATTTCAATAAAGTTTTTCTTGCTGGAGTACTGAATAGCAGAATTACTATGATTCAGTACAGCAGCGCAAATGTCAGTGTGATATTGTCGTTCTATAAATAATAGTAATAATAAATAACAGAAAAAATTTGGCCAGCAAAAATACTTCCAAAGGATGCCAAATGTTCACACTTTCTGTGTCACAAGGCAACTCACAGATTGACAGTCTGTCTGAAATGCAAGTGGAAAGAATGCAAATCAGAGGATCTGAACCAATTGTTGTATAACAAGCTCACACTACACCATTTTAGCTCTGAGATTTTGTGACTTCTGTCAAGTCACATGAGCATTTTCACTGATCTCTTGTGAAGATTTTATCTGCTATGCATCAGTAAAAAGATACTACACTACTGTTCAAAATTTTGGGATCAATACGTTTTTTTTTAAAAGAAATTTGTACTTTTATTTAGCAAGGGCACATTTAATTTATTAAAAGTGACAGAAACTTTGTGTTCACAAAGTGACTTTCTGTTCATTAAAGAATCCTGAAACTATGATCATGGTTTCCACACATATATTAAGCAGAACAGCTGTTTTTAACATATTTACATATATACCATATTTCTTGAGCAGCAAATCAGCGTATTAAAATGATTTCTGAAGGATCATGTGACACTGAATACTGGAGTAATGGCTGCTGAAATTTCAGCTTTGCATCACAGGAATAAATTACATTTTATGTATCAAAACAGGAAAGAGTTATTTTAAAATGTATCAATATTATGATTTGAATGTATTTTTATATAAATAAATGCAGCCTTGCTGATCAAAAGAAGCTTTCAAAATTATAAAAAAAAAATACTTACTGACCCCAAACTTTTGAACGGTAATATATATTAGCAGCAGATGATTTCTAGAGAATTAAAAAATAAAGTATGTTTATAAGATGTACAGAATAATTACAATGCAATGTTTTTCTGATTATGAGTGCTTTGGGCAATGAGCTTGAAATTTGTGTAGTGTGAGCTTGGCCTTTTTAGTTACCTTGTATTTTTTCCCCAAAAATATCAACAAAGCGATAATTAAATGACGAGAAATAAACAAAGAAGACAGTTTGTGCTTATTAGAGAATAATTTTGTGACATATCATCAGGACTAACACAAAAATTACTCTACTTATAAGGATATAAGGATTCACTCAGCATTTTTCGATTTTTTTCCTACATTTGAAATCAAATACAATCTACCTCACTAACATGTAATGCCTTAAGTGCATTACATTCCCATGTGAAGACCAGTTCAAAATTCCCATCAAAGCAAGTCACAAATTTAAAGCAACCATTACTATTTTAATTGTTACTTTTCCAGAAGGACAGTTTTCTTTTACTAGTCAAGCCATGTTTGCATCCCTTGTATGCAAAGTAAAAATGTACATTAATGTTTGATTTGGAAATGCTTGATTCAGATTATACTGATTTATCTGCAACATAACTGTATCTGTAACCTGTTTGAACATCAGACCAAATGTGGTGTGTGTTTTTGAAATACTGTTTATCTACCATGTTTTCACATTATTGAATGGAGAATCTGAATGATAGTTGTGCAATTGTTGTTTGTTTATAGCTTCTGTGAGTCTCTCTATGAATGTAGGCAATTCATGAATAATGGCAAAAATATGGATCTAAAGTAAATGACAGTTTATTTTCCTTGGCTATTCACTTGGACCCAAATCCAAACATTCCATTATAGCAGACATTGCAAGTCATTAAAAAAATGCAGACAATAAAGAACACAATAAAGAAAAAAAACGTGTGGGGAGGAACATTTTGTATGTGTAATTTTGTTTTAGGTGGCTTTCATTCACTGTTGTGGTTTTAGTGAAATGCACAGAGCTCAGCCAAGTAAATGGAACTCAGTGAGCAATATGGAAAAACAATATGACAAACATTGACATTTAGACATGAGGATCTATGCTGATAGCTTAAAAAAGCTACCGTCATCAAATTTGAAAGACTTTTAGGAAAGGATATTTAATGACACGTCGTGACCACTGTGCTCAAATGCATTTCCATAAAACACACAATTATGCAGTACTGCGAGAAATTTCTATAAAACAAGTGAGCGCCACCAGCTTGCACTAATCTGTCCTGCAGTGTGATTTAGAGATGATAACTCACACATTGTATTCTCTCATTTATGTCCTAGTGTGTGACAAACCAGCCAAACTCTCTCTCTCTGTCAGCCTGCTGCTTTAATGAGGGAATGTGATATTTGTATTTGATGTCACCTGAGAGACTACCTCTATGGAAATGAGTCCCAAACTCATCTTCTTTTAGCTTCTTTGACCTCTGTCAGTGTCCCAGTTGGGTGGTCTTTATCATCATCTAGCCATTTTGCATTACACAACAATTTGCCAAAGCTTCCCACCCCCTTCTCCAAGGCTAGTGGTTTTTATATGCGCAATCTAGATCTGCCTATATCACCCTGGCATTCAAATGCCAGAGCTGTTCATTTCAGCTAGTGTCCTTCTGGCCTTCAAATGTGTTGATAAGGTATAAAGCAGTGGGGGAAGTGTGGCAGCTGCTGTACCCTGCACTGTGCTAAATTGAGATTTTAATGAACAGGGTACAGACTACAGAATAGAGCCTGAGACGAAAATGTTTTTCTTTTTTTTTCAGCAAATGGTCAGTGAAAAAGGTGCTTAAGCCTGAGAAACCTCAGTGGGACATACAAATTATTAGTACTGTGGGAAAAATGTCTCCAAGGTCCAAGGGGAATGGCCAGACTGATTCAAGCTAATTGAAAGGCAGCAGTAATTCAAATAAACCGAGGTGTGCAGAAGAGCATCTCTGAAAGCACAACACATCCAACCTTGAAGCAGAAGACCACACTGGGTGCCACTCCTGTCAGCTCAGAACAGGAAATTGAGGCTGCAGTTCACACTGCCTCACCAAAACTGGACAAATTAAGTTTGGAAAAAGGTTGCCTGGTCTGATGAGTTCTGATGTCTACTATGACATTTGTTTCCTACTTGTTTATGGTATGTTTGACTTTATGCGGTGCTCCAGAGACTGACATTGGAGGACTATATGCCCCAAGCTCTAAAGGCCATTGAGCTTGGTTCACCACGGACTCTACTGGCCGTGGCTGTCGTTGTCCTTGTGCTCCAAGTCTCGTGGTCACAAGTCCACTGGTCCTGAAGGTCATTCCACTGTCCAAGGTGCTCTTGATAATGGCCACTGATAACCTGTCCATTTGGGCCGCACACACTTCTCCAGAGGCAGCAGAGTCCACTACAACTCTGCTCTCTTGAGTTTTGGTCAAACTCAGTTGCGCCAAATCTACCATAACCATAGCAAATGAAGTTTAGCTTGGAGACTACTAAAATTCCCCACTCTGGTGATGATTTGGACTAATGATTTGGTAGCAAAATCTTATATGTTTGTATGAGTGCATGCTTCTGAATTTACAGATGCTCAAGCCCCCTTAATGGGTGCTGGCGCCCCACAGGTTGAAATCTCCTGCTCCATGTCACTGCAACAGAAGCTGTCCATGAACTTCCTGTGTTCCCTGATGCAGCTACAGAGGTTGTTACGGCCATGGAGGCCGTCCACGCCTGCTGAGACATGGCCTTAGTGGCTGTCCACACCTGCTTAGTCACGCCTGTTCTGTCACGGCCATGGAGGTGGTCAATACCTGCTCAGTCACAGTCACGGAGGCCATCTATGCCTGCTCAGTCATGGCCACGGAAGCAGTCCACACCTTCTCTGTCATGGTCACACAGGTTGTCAACACCTGCTTAGTGCTTAGTCATGGCCACGGAGGCCACCCAAGCCTGCTCAGTAACACCCAGGAAGGTGCTCCATGTTTCTGCTTTGCCATGGTGGTCTATCGCTTTGTTGCTGTGGTCTTCTATAGTGCCATGATGTACTGTTCCATAGTTTCTACCTGAGTGGTCTCCATCTTCACCATGGCCACCTGATCCTTTATGGTCTTGTCATCTGCTTCGCGGTCTAGGTCGTCCTCTACAAGCACAGTTCAGGCCTGCAACTATGCCATGATCCAGACTTGCTTCCGCTGCATGGCCCATGTCCGCCACCATGCCATGATCATTGTTTTTGTCAACAAATGTTTAGTGAAAAAGGTGTTTAACCTTGATATAAACCTCAGGGGGTCATATGCATTATTAGCTATATATTTTTTTATATTAATATAATGTACATATTTAATATTATATATGTATACATTTAATATATTTATAATTTATATAAAATATATAAATATTTAACAGCATTTAATATGTAATAATATTAATAATAACAACAAAATGAATACAAAATAGATATTCACTATATTTAACCAAAATATTACCTTTATTATTAAATATTAAATTCTAAACAATACATACATATACAATACAATACATATTTCAAGTAATTATCTATTAATTTTATAGGAGGTTTGCGAAAACCTCCTATAAAACAGTTTAAAACCAACCAACCCCCCCAAAAACAAAACATTGCTACAAAAACTATGCCAAATACTGGGAACAGTTAAGCTTTAGGCTAAATATTGAGAGGTTTGGTAGCTCATGTGGGACCAAATGTTGATGTACTGTATATACTGGGTTAATTTTGTTAGATAATGATCATATCTAACTGTTCTCACAACAAAACATATGGGATTTTGCCTAATTCTTTTTTTTTTAAAGGCGCAAGACACCAAAGTGTACAATATTCGCAGGATAGTGCCAGTTACAGATGACCCTGAAGAGAATTTGATCATATCTTTAAAGCCTCTTTGGAGCTGCTGTGATTGACAAAGAGAATCCATCAGAGGAAGTCTTTATCTGTGAGAGCCGGGAATGAGGGCACTGTAAAAGTGGATGGAACACATGAGCATATATTCCAAAATTGCATCATTGTTTTTGATGAACAAGCAATATAGCAATAAAAACCATTATTATTAATCTAATAATTGCATTATTAATAACAACAACAACAATAATAATAATAATAACAACAATAATACATAATGAATTTATAATATTTTATAATTTTTATAATCAATAATACATATCTCTCCCACCTTCAATACCACGACTGAGGTGCCCTTGAGCAAGGTTTTGTGGATTTGTGAAATGTGACTGACTGATGATATGGGTTTGTTCAACACATCAACACAAACCAGAACATAATCCTCTATGCAGCTACTAAGATGCAGTCCAATAACATGTCCATGACTGTCAAACATGTGCGAACACACTTACTTCAGATATTACAAAACTGTTCTCCAGAAAAGGTTGAGGTCATTGCAGTAAGTAAATCCCTCAAATAATGACTGTACACTGGAACATTTTAGTGAAAAGGCTTTAAGACTATTTTATCTGATATCCAAGAGCCTTTGGCATTGAATATCATCCATTCTCACTCACATCATTTTCTTTTATACAGGCAGAATAACAAATTCCGACTTTCTGCAAAGCCTCGGGGGCGATTTTTACCTCAGTCTTTAAATTAATTGAGAAGCGGAAAAGTTCTGCTTGGCCTCCCCCACATATTGCTTTGGTTTGTTCTTTATAGGAGCCCTGC